GTGTGCGTGTGTGCGTGTGTGCGCCTGTGTGCATGTGTGTGTGTGCTGTTAGTGCGCGATTAGAGCATTGGATGGATGTAGGTATATTCATCGTTACCTATAAACTAGTGTATTAGTGTTTCTGTAAATGGGTGTATTCTTGCTCTCTATGCCGTGCCTTGTCGTATATAATGGAACGTTTAAACATTCCGGGTGTGTGTTGTGTGTGGGGTATGTGAGTTTAGACATAGGCGTATGCGTACCAGTTAGTCTTATGCATGCGTTAGCGTAGTGACATTATCTGCGTGGTAGGTGTTAAGTGTTGGCCGTTGCTGAGATTCTCGCCTACGACAGTGCAATGCATGCACATGTATATGTATAAACATATGTGTGTATAAATGGATATGTGCATATATGTATGTGTATATATGTATATATGTATAAACGTATATGTATATATATGTGTATATGTATAAATGTATATGTGTATATATGTAAATATGTATAAATGTATATGTGTATATATGCATAGATGTATAAATGTATATGTGTATATTTGTGTATATGTATAAATGTATATGTGTATATATGTGTATATGTATAAATGTATATGCATATATATATATATATATATATATAAATGTATATTTGTATATGTGTCTATATGTATAAATCTATATATCGATTAATCTAGAAATCAATGAATCTATACATGTATAAATGTACAAACGTACCGTTGTATTGCCATTGTCACATGTTTATGTGTTCTGATAGTAACGCTTTCAAGACACTTCTAGACTACGCAGTGTTTGTCGTTCTACCTGTGCTGCGTTGGTGGGATGGCTATCCTATTTACGTTTATTCCTTAAATATGTCAAAACAATAATATTTTAATATATTGATGTTTTAATATCTCAATATATTATTGTTTTAATATGTTAACATATTGATGTTTTAAGATGTTAATATATTAATGTTCTAAGATGTTAATATATTAATATATTAAGATGTTAATATATTAACGTTGTAAGATGTTAATATATTAATGTTACAAGATGTTAATGTATTAATGTTTTAATATGTTAATATATTAATGTTTTAATATGTTAATATATTAATGTTTTGTGATGATAATATATTAATATATTATAATGTTTTTAAGATGTTAATATATCAATATATTAATATGTTAATATATTAAAATGTTTTAAGATGTTAATATATTAATATACTAGTATGTAAATATATTGAAATGTTTCAAGATGTCAATATAGTCATATATTAATATGCTATAATGTTTATAAGTTATTATGTTAATATGTTACGATGAGTCCTTATAGACACGGACCATAAGTGTCACTCAACAATACGAGCCACGATCGTTAATGAATCATCGATATTTATGCATGTATGTATGTATGTATGTGTATGCATGCATCCATGTATGTATGTATGTATACATATACTTTGTACAGCAGAAAGCGCATGCCACTGACATACCGCCGTGTTTTTGTTCGCGTGCATACAGCCAACCACCCACGTGACTTTGCCACATTCATGTTGCACAACATGTGTCTGGGCTTCGCTTCGTATGTCAAGGACGACGAGACCTATGCCGCCACAGCATGGACGAATATTAAGGCTATGTTTATAGGTATGTGCATGTGTGTATATGTGGATGTAGGAGCATGGAAAAATATCAAGGATATGTTTATAGGTTGTAAGAGCATGGACAAATATTGGGACTATGCTTATAGGTATGTGTATGTGTGTATATGCAGATGTAGGAGAATGGACTAATATCAAGGTTATGTTTATAGGTATGTGCATGTGTATATATGCGGATGTAGGAGCATGGACAAATATCAAGGTCATGTCTATAGGTATGTGCATGGGTGTATATGCGGATGTAGTGTGTATTACTATATATATAAACGACGGCACAACTGCTTGGAACAAAACACCGTAGGTGGTCACACTAACCCAGATCGGTACAAAGTCACCATTCTTTGAACAGACACTAGCACATCCAGCCATACAGAACACGTCGGTACTAACCGTGAACGGGTCGGCAGGGGTAGACACAGTCACATATGATGACAGGGTTAGCCTAATAGCTCAATACCACCTCTCTATATGTAGCGCTGATAGGTCTCAGGTGGTTTCTATTTATAGGTTGGTGTATGATAACGTTATTAACGACGTACACTAATGCTCTTTATATATCGTGTGGATGTTTCTTGTTTTTCAGATAAAGAATCGGCCATGTCACCTTCGACCTTCGCCTGCGGAACGGACACCAAGTGCACATACGCCAAACACAGACGTAAGTATAGTCTGCGAATGTTTGTTATGGTCATATACGAAGCGCAGAGCACACACATTTTATGGAGTTAATATAGCTATATGATATGCACAATTGGAGACACCGATTGTTGAGACACTAGTTCACACAGTTCCTAGTCATTGTATATACAAGTCTCATATAT